CACCCAAAAATACTTAGAGTTCTCCCAGGCAGACATCTTAGCGCCCCCCTCCCCCCATAAATTACAGTATATCCTAGAGCCGCCACTGGTAATGTGGCAGATACTTTAGTTCGTAGAAGCCGTAATACTTTTACTTTGGCAATAGTAAATAGATTTCAGTAACTGACCTATCATTTAAAGCTTATAAATAATAATGATAATAATATTTTAATAGGTTAATAATAATAATAATAATAATAATAATAATAATAATAATAATAATAATAATAACAAAAGCACTATGTAGAGAGCATATCTCCGCCCACTGCAAATCCCTTTCTCAAAAATAAATCTCTAAGAAATATGTTTCCACTTTCGAACCACCAACCACCACCTAAAAAAATTACACTTAACACAAAAGTTGCATTCAAATCAGTTGATTACTTTTTAGGATATCTGATCTGGGACATTTTGCTTTGAATAGTCTTACATCTTCTGGCTTTAACACACTGGAATGACACACTCTTATATCTGACAAAAAATTACATACCATGTATTAGTGTTCAAATGGAAATATTATGCTATTATGAATATGGGGGTTTGGTTTTTAGCGTCACATTGTATAGATGTATTAAAAATAATTCCCAATCAGTTCCTAAAAAATTGCACTATATTTATATATTCATCAAAAAACTATTGTTTATGCCTACAGTACATTAATACAGTAAACCTATTTTTTAAATGGTCCTACATTTAGGTGTAGGACCTGGTGTCCATGCACACCCGACTTTGGATCGTCATCCACAATCCAAATTTATTTTCCATGTAACTTGTTTAAACTTTCATTCAGATCATTTTATCAGTTTTTTAAATATCTTGTCTGGGACGTTTTCGTTTGAATGGTTCTCATATCCATACCCTATTTTCATTGAAACATGACAAATTATTGTGGAGAGGGAAATTTTGATCCATTGATTATCCTTAGAGTTATTTAGGTGGAACCTTAGGATTTTAAACAACCTTCAAATTCACACCTGAATTTCGATCATCAACACTTAATAATATCTTCCTTGTAACTTGGTTAAACTTTAAACAAACTTTTATCAGGTGATTAGTTTTTGAAATATCTTGTCTAGAAAGTTTGCTCTAAAATCCTTTAATTGGTCCTCACATCCACACCCTACTCCGGACCGTCATTTTTTCATTGGGTTATGCCTAATACTCCCTGTTATTTTTAATTATGTCTGTGCAGACGTTTCTTGAGATAATTCAAACACAAACACACAGTCAATAAGACACCTCAGAAGTCGGGAAAGCTCATTTCCCGCCATCTAGGAATCAAAATTTTCCAGGGGGAAACCCCCAGATCAACCTTTCTCTTGGAGGTTTTATCGATTCATGGGAAAAAGAATCCCAACCAACAATAGTTCTTTCCAGAACTATTTGTTGTTTATTTGTTGTGTACTGCAAGCACTAATATATATGAAATGCATACTATCATTTTCATTGAGCATATAATATTTAATTATGTTATGATTAATAGTTCATAAAATTAAAATTTAATTATTTGACCAATAGAATTATAATAATTAAATTAACAATTAAACATTTTGATATTTATAGTGCATTTGTATTTTCTCATCCGAAATCTAATTTATTTATTTTACTATAGAAATTCTGAAGAAAATTTAGACATTGCACCTCTGCAACAAGTGCACTAGCCCTGCTTGGCTGAATGGTGAATTTTGCTTCCTCTACTGAATGGTGAGTGTGCTAGAATTTTCTTATTATAAATTTCATGTCCATTGTAAATTGCATGTCCATTGCAAATTGCTTTGTGGGAGAAATAAATGCTAACACTGATTTCAGATTTGATACTTGTTTCTTAAATTATTTGATTTACATGTAATAATATAATTTTAAATTGTATTAATTTGCGTAAATGTTTCAATTAAAAATAACTTTAAATATTTTCCCTTTTCACTGGACTTAAAAATTGTATAAATTTGCGTAAATGTTTCAATTAAAAATAAATTTAAATGTTTTCCCTTTCCACTGGACTAAAAAATTGTTGTATTAATTTGCGTAAATGTTTCAATTAAAAATAAATTTAAATAGTTTTCCATTCCACTGGACTTAAAAATTGTTGTATAAATTTGCGTAAATGTTTCAATTAAAAATAACATTAAATGTTTTCCCTTTCCACTGGGCTTAAAAATTGTTGTATAATTTGCGTAAATGTTTCAATTAAAAATAACTTAAAATATTTTCCCGTTCCACTGGACTTAAAAATTGTTGTATAAATTTGTGTAAATGTTTCAATTTAAAATAAATTAAAAATTTTCCTTTCCACTGGACTTAAAAATTGTTGTATAAATTTGCGTAAATGTTTCAATTTAAAATAACTTAAAATGTTTTCCCTTTCCACTAGACTTAAAAATTGTTGTATAAATTTGCGTAAATGTTTCAATTAAAAATAACTTTAAACATTGTTGTATAAATTTGCGTAAATGTTTCAATTAAAAATAAATTTAAATAGTTTTCCTTTCCACTGGCCCTAAAAATTGTTGTGTAAATTTTGCATAAATGTTTCAATTGAAAATAACTTTGAATGTTTTCCCTTTCCACTGGACTTAAAAATTGTTGTATAAATTGCGTGAATGTTTTATATAGAAATAACTTTGAATGTTTTCCATTCCATAGCTTATTGCTCTAATTTCTTATTCTTTCAGAATGTGGCAACTGATTTGGCAATTGAAGCTTTCTATTTCAAATAAATATTCTTTGTAATTCAGTATCGTTTTGGAAATAGTTTGAATATTCATTGTAATTTAGTATTTTGAATAAATATATATTCAGTTTATTATTGAGTATTTTCTTCTTCTTGAGCATTGAAAAAGGAGGATGGCAGGATGGCAAAAAAAAAAAAGCGCCCTCGAATAGAAAAAGGCCCAAAATATGACTAAGTTATTTGGCCACAATAATCTGTCCGGTTCTGATAAAAATAGTGAAGAAAATCGCCCTAAATAGCCATTTTAATTTAAAGTTTTTTAGGGCGTCTTAACTGTCAACGGCAGTAAGCACCCTCTAACATCCAAGTTTTTCAGAATAACATAAAAACTGGCTATTAGAGGGCACTACCACCTTATTAATTAAATTAATGACAAATAAGACACCACCGAAAAACATTAAACTAAATTGGCTTTAGAGGGCGGTTTTCAGCACCACACAGGACCCCTTTAAATAATTTTAGAGACCCTGGAAATTTTGGCTTTCTATTAGAGGGCGCCCTTCAGCACCACTTTTAATAGAAATTGAGGGACATGGGAAAAATTAGCCTTTTTCTATTGGAGGGCGCTTTTTTCATCTTACCTGCATCCATCAGTCAAGCCATCAGTCTTCAAACTTGAACAGCAAAGAAACATCAAAACACTATTGAATTTTTTTTTTTTTTATCATCTTCATAACCAAAATCACGTAATGAAAATTATTAGGCATCAACAATTCATTATATGGAAAGTTAAAATGCAAGTTATAGTAGTTTTCTGGTTCTCTTGGTAATAGTCAGTTTATATCTTCTGTACAATATAATCAGTTTTTCAAAATGAAGCAATTGTTGTCTTGATGCTGCAACTTACCTGCATCCACTAGTCTTCAAACTTGAACAGCAAAGAAAAGTCAACACACTACTTATATTTTTTATTATCTTCATAACCAAAATCACTTAATGTAAATTATTGGCATCAACAATTCATTATATAAAAAGTTAAAATGCTCTGCTAGTAATCATAGTAGTTTTCTGGTTCTCTAGTCGGATTGTAATTAGCCAGTTTATATCTTCTGTACAATATACTCAGTTTTTTTTCAGAATTAAGCAATTGTTGTCTTGATGCTGCAACAAATAATACAACCGTTTTCACCGGGATTACGGCATCACAATATTCAGCAAGATGTTAGCAAAACTTCTGTATTGTATTAAGCATGACAAATTAAATTAACTAAATTAAATTGCCTATATTAGACAAAAATTATTATAATAGGTTTCTTTTCCTTGTCTTCCTCTGCAGCAGTACTTTTCCTGTCTTGCAACTGTGTTGCTGCATCCACCAGAAATATTCTATAAAAAAAAATTAGACACAAACACGAATTAAACAAAATTAAAGGTAATAATAAAGTTAATCATTTCATAAAGCTTCAGTATATACCACTTAATACTTACAGTATTATTAATTCTTTGATGTATATCAAAAGTTACTTATCTTGCAGATAGTTGTCTGTCGTCTGCAAAAAAAAATTTAAAAAAATACAAATATTGTTTTTATATCCTCAGTGACTTTCACAAATACTGATTTGGGAAAGCGCAAGCTCAGTGTTGTAGTGGTTAAGATCCAGGCTAGTTATCTGGTGTGTAAATCCCATTTCCATGTACCACTGAGTATTGTAATGCCATTCAATGCTGTCTTTTATGTTAGGAATGTTTTAGTTCATCATACTGAATGCTCAGCATGTTCCATGATACTTGCAAATAAAGTCATTTGGGTAGGAATTGAACAACTGAGCTTACACTGTAGTGGCTTTGTGTTGAATCTGATTTAAGCAAACAAAATCTTGCAAGAGTCTAATTTCCAAGTAGCAGCAAGTAGGCCTACTGTGATGCTTTTCAATTGTTTTATTTTTTTCCAAACACCATCAAATATAATTCTCACAAACAGTTATTGTATTGCCCCATCAATATGCACCCTTGTCAAACAGGCATGATTCCATATGCTTTAAAATTGATGGATGCTCCTATACCTTCCTTTACCAGGATTATCGCATTATTCAGTAAATGTTCTAACAAAACTTCAGCACACTTTTCACGATTTGCCGCATGGGTCATGTTCTGTTGCTTCATCTGCCAAAAAAAAAAAAAAAAGAAAAAAAAAGAACAAGAAACAGTAAGGTTGAGACATGATAATTTTAAGGAACGAAGAAATTA